GACATATCTACTCGTATTACCAAACAAAACAAATCTTAACTAATTAATAACAAATCTTCGTTGAGTTGTAATTTTTAATTTTAGACGATTTTAGACGATTGGGGAATGACGGAGTGCGAAGTCTCTGAGGACGATCCAGGAGGATGATCCCGGAGAGGATACAGTGGCAGAGAAAAACAAGGAATGTTTGATCTCAGCTTCATGTGAGATACATAGCAAGGAAGAAAGAGAGAGAGATGGAGACGATTTGTTTTAGGGTACTACGAAAGTTTGCACAAAATGGAGACGCAAAGTCTTTGAATAAAGATAGGCCGAATGTTGAAGAAATAGAAATAGAAATAATGTTTATTCAAATAAACTTAACAGAAGCATTTTGAATAGTCATATTTTTTTAATCTACCTCTCATTGGGACGTAGACACATCACAAGAATGATTGAGAATCTTGCGTTTTGCTCTTATAGATAAATGTTGTTCATAATTGCATATTTGGGAATTTCGTGTGAATGTAAACTGCCAAATAGCAAAGTGGGCATAAATAAATTAATAACCATTTGAGTAACAAAATAAATCAGTCACAGTTATAGAAGTTCTTTTGAATAGTCATATTTTTTTTATTCTACCACTCATTCGGAACGCTGTTCCATCACAAGAAGAATTAGCGAGAAATTTGCGTGTTGCTCTTTTAAAGAAATGTTGTTCTAATTACACATTAACAGGGATTAGGCATGCAATAAACGTGTTACTCTTTAAAGAATACTTACATAGTAATTTTATTACGTGGACACTCCACTTAAGTATAGCATTTGGCATTTAAAATAGTGCGTGATCCACAACCGATGATGGGTATTAATTCTATCAACATTATTGCGTATGCTTCCTGCTCTGAAGGCCACAGATTAAAAAGGTTGTAGCAACTTCAACGTGCCATATAGTCAACCGACTTAAGAAAATAAAATGAGGATATCCTGAAGTTGACATTATTTCTGTTTGAGGATTGAGGTACAATTTTTTTTCCTTTTTTTTATTGGTTTGTTTGGGCTATTGTCAGGTGCATGGACCTGTAGCATTGCGACCTACATAGATCTATTGTGCTCGCTCTTTTTCAGAGACAAGAATTGGAGGATATTCTTAGGAGCGATGGTTTTTATCTCCTCAGGACAGAGTGTAAACTTTCCAAAGGAGATATTTCGTTTACGCATATACTCAAAGGTGACTGACATAGTAATCTATCAAACCACTGGACGGATAGGGCTGAAATATGGCATGCAGGTAGATGTTATGACGTAGGCATCCGCTAAGAAAGGATTTTGATTAATCCTTCCCCCAAGGAGATAAAATAGGGGATGAAACTTTGTATGAAACTTTGTCAATTTTAAACCGATCGGGCTGAGAATTTGCATGCATAAAGCTACTATAACATAGGCATCCCCAAGAAAGGATTTTGATAAATTCCTCCTCTAAGGGGATAAATTAACGCGAGTGAAGCCGCGGGCAAAAGCCAGTTATTATATAAATTTCTTTCCTTTAAAATCCCTTCAAATATTTAGTAGGGAAATAAAACTTCAGCAACAATATTTTTAATAGATCTCTCTTTCATAGATTGCTTTTAAATATTTATTACTCTGTCTAACCACTGTCAGGGAACTTATAAAGGAAATGTCCAAAGAGAAAATTGGGTGAATATTTTATAATGCTCGTGTAAAAGGTTTTTATACAGAATTTTGGTTGATTGTAAATATTTGAGATGGCAAATCTTTACGGACAATATTTATTCGTACCGAACCAACCAACCATTCATAACTTTTTTTACACAGCGCCATCTAGTCCCTAAATGATTTGAATCTGATCAAATTGACGGGCTCGGTGATCTAGCGGTTTAGCCGACCGCTTTACTGTTGGTCGCGGGTTCGATTCCTCCGCACGGTACCAACATTTGTATTCATGAGTATGATTGTTTGTATTGATCTGGGTGTTCTCTATATAAACTATGTATGTATATACAGTAAAATCTATCTATGTATTTGTATCAGTGGTCTAGTACCCATAATATAAGCTCTGCTTAACTTGGGACTAGATGGCGCTGTGTAAATTGTCGTGAGACATTATTATTATTTATATATATATATATTTTATATATCTCTTTTAGATGGACTGACAGACTTTTTACTATTAATATCTATACTAATATTATAAAGCTGAAGAGTCTGTTTGTTTGTTTGTACGCGCTATTCTCAGGAACTACTGGTTCGAATTGAAAAATTATTTTTGCGTTGGATCCATTTGTCGTAGCTATATAACATTACGCTAAGACCATAATAGAAGCGAAGCATCAGTCAAAAAATATTACAAAAATGGGGAAAATTATTCATATTTGAGAGTTTCACCAAGAAGAATATAGACAGTTTCAAAAGAGTTAGTGATTGCACCAATAAAAGCTTACGTAACAATAACAAACTGATTTTACCTAAATGTCGTTTTGGCTAAAGTTAGTAATTCGTTTTATGGCAATTGCATAAGGTTTTACAACAAAATACCAGAGTCTGTTATAAATCTGCCAGAAAAAAGATTTAATTGTCAAATAAAACAGTTCCTTTGCAAAAAAGCTTACTATAAAATTTAAGAATTCGTTAAAGATAATAATGTTTTTATAGAAAAACTTTAAATCCATAGCACTGACAATATTATGTAATTACACTAATAATGAGTGCGTAGAGATTTCTATGTTGATTATCGCATAGCTCTTACTTGTTATACTGTAATTATTTATATAAAAAAACATCTATTAAAAAGAGCAACACATAAGTTTCTTGCTCATTCTTCTTGTGATGAATCTGCATTCCGTATGAGTGGTAGAATCAAAATATGACTATTCAAAAGTGCTTGTAATGAGTTTATTTGAATAAAGATTGTTTCTATTTCTATTTCTTCCGTTGCGTGAGCTGAGCGAAGTCGAGGGCACAGTTAGTTAGGTATAAAGTTACTATCTGCATTATTTAATCTTTGATATTTAATCAAAGGAGTCTCTGCGCGTGATCACGCACAATTGCTTACGAATAAATCAAGTATTGATGTATGTTTGTATGTATACAGCTTCTCCGTGCCTTTGTACGAAGGACGGACATCCTGATATTATTATATTGATGTTGAATAGAATATTATTATGAAGATATCTTAACAACATCTATAACAAGAATTTTGTTTGGTTAAAAATTGGGACCAACATGACAGAAAAGGTAAATAGTTACTACTAGTAACTATATTTACCTTTTCTGTCATGTTGGTCCCAAGTTAATTTTTTTTTAAATTGGGATCAACATGACAGAAAAGGTAAATAGTTACTTACTAGTAACTATATTTACCTTTTCTGTCATGTTGGTCCCGTCATGTTCGTCCCAATTTAATTTTTTTTTTTAAATTGGGACCAACATGACAGAAAAGGTAAATATAGTTACTAGTAATTATTATTAAAACATTTCAAAAATGGCGGTCTCTAACTTGTATAAAAAAAATACAGACGTATTTGTAAATCTTCTTTTTTTAAATCGGTTATTTATTTATTTACGTTGCGTTACCAATTATGGTATATCAATTAATTAATTCACACACATAATATGCACCTTTTAGGGACTGCAAAGTGGAAGAGAGGCGGACGTTTTATATATTAAACTCATCATCTTGCAAGTATTCCTCGATTTTGTAATAAGCTTCGAATTTGTCAACGTTTGTTTTAATTGGATAATAAATTTATTATATTTATTCTCATTTTTTATAGTATTAGAGGTAATTTGTTGTATATTTTTATTGCCATGGAATAGAGGCCAGAACTATGTATTTTTTTTTTATGACGGGTTGTAACAGAGTTAAAAATATTATATTCATTTTTACTTTGATTGAATATTTAATTTGAAAGAAACGTTTTGATATAAAAATAAATAAACAATAATAGGTCACCATTGCTTCGTATTTATTTCATTATAGTTATTATTTTCGATATGATAATATTCTAATATATAATAAGTTTATTGTGCAAAAAAAAAACAGTTACAAAAATGGACTTAGCTAAGGTTCTATATCTACTATATATAGATATAACTTCACTTTTTATACTAATTTAAAATTTTTATGTAGACAAATCGATTGTATATTAAAAAGTATATATAAAAAAAAGAAGAAACAGATACAATATTTAAGTCTCAATATAACATTATGTCAAGACAAGAGCGTAGCTCTTAAATAATGAATGAATGAATGAATAACATTATGTCACTGAATATATAGAAGGTGTAAAGATTTTTAGTACGTTAAAAGACACTCAACATTAATAAAGTAAGCTACAGAGAGCGCCATCTGTTAATTAATTTCAGAACTACCAACACCCAACAGCACATATCGATGTTAGTCATTATTGTTGGATACAACTAACAGATGGCGCTTTTTAATATAATAAAAGGCATCAGTTAAATGCTCAGGAGTTTCTATGAACAGAAACTTTTGTTTATTCCGTTTATTAATTAGATATATATTGTTTTATAGACTTTTATTTATAAATATGTGTATATATTAAATTTTAATGTTTACGTGTTAGTTTTAAAGTAACGAGTTGACTTTTGTGTCATTATATTCTTGATGTATCTATATATGATATTATTGAATGGCTGAAACTTAATTTAAGTACTTTTGAATAGTCAACAATTTTTTTTTAAATCTACCACTTATTTGGAAATCTGTCTCATTACAAGAAGAATAAGCAAGAAACTTGTGTGTTGTTCTTTTAAACAATCCTTGTAAGTTCACATTTTACAAGTCGAAACGTGTGAATATTAACTACCAACCAGCACAAATTTCTTTAGGCTCAAATATAAAAGCACAATACGACTAAATCAGTCGTAGTGATAAGAGCAGACCAGTGCCTACAAGCAGCACTCGTTCACTAGTATGATGGACAATCTAGCGTCATATTAATAGATTTAATGTTTTTTAAGTAAAAGTAGCAACTAACCTGAACAGCATCATCCAAACATCTTCCCCACGCGTCGCTCCTGTCCACCAAAGAGTTCCACTTGTCCGCCAACTTGGCCACCTCGCGCCGGATCGATCGAGCAAGCTCGCGAGCTTGTTCCTCTGCCGAGCGGTAGCCTCTTGAATCGCCTTCACTTTCACGGCTCGCTGTTGAAGGAAATATTTTTTTTATATATTTAATATAAAAAATCTTATGAAAATAATATCTTTTTTATAACAGTCAAAAACAATAATTTTTTTCAATGCAGCGTGAGAAGCTAGTAATTTTATTTCTTCTGACGACCTCGATGGTCTAGCGGTTTAGCACTGTATTACTTCCGATGGTCGGGGTTCGATCCCTCGATCAGACAAACTTCGTACAAACATTTATATTCATGAGCATGATTGTTTGTATCGATCTAGGTGTTTTTTATATAAATTATGTACAGCGATGATTACAAAAAAAATTAGGTATGTATACATTTATAGCAATCAGTGCCTATGTATGTATTTACAAAACAAAAACTTATTTCACTACTAGTATCCATAACTCAAGTTCGGCTTAGCTTGGGACTAGATGGCGCTGTCTGAATTGTCCAGGGTTATTATTATTGTATAAAGGGGCAGTTACCCTTACTATTAGGTAGTCAGCTACTTGCCTTCTAGTCACATTTTTTAAAAGTATACAATGCAAGCAAAACAAAGTTTCTTTCACCAGTTCCTAAAGGAAACTCACCCGCGATTTTAAACCAAGTTTTCAACGAATAGTCTAGTATTACCTAAACTCTGTTTATTCTAAGCACGCTTGTATACCCAGATTGCAGGTTCCAAATTTGTAGCATTATATCGGAAGTTAAGACACTGACCATAAAAACTCCAAGTTTATAAAGTTATTCAAATCAGCGCCATCTAGCGGGTATTATGATACAACTTTAGCGACAAGATGGCGCATTAAAATTTACTGCCGAATTCTTGCGTCGAAACTAAATTCTAGTTTTCTGTAGTCACCTTTGAATTATATATATTTAGATGCTGTTGCGGACTATGACAAAGACAATGTAACAAAGTGAGATATATCAAATAACATGTATATAAAAAAGAAGAGTTTTAAAAATAAACAATTAAAAATAATAATAATATCAAAAGAGTTCCAGGCGATCGGTCTACAACACTTAGGCTAGGCAACCGTCGCTGGGGTCGCGGTAGATTGCCAGCTCGATCCTGTAACCCTGGCACTATAGCGGCGAGGAGGAATATCGTGGGGTTTTTGGTAACTACCCGTCCGTCCAACCCCTGAGACGGGCAGGTCTCTATAAGAGGATTTTTCCCAAGTAAAAAAAAAGATTTACGAAAAAAAACAGCAAACAATGTCTCAGGTATCAGATACAAACGCAAAAATCGCGAGATTCTTTAATAAATAATACGAACTGCAGGCAATAAGTCGGCAAGTAAAAATGGTGGTCATCAGAGGGTTGTATCACGTCAATATTCGCCGTTCATCGACAAAATGACGGTTCTGATTAGGGTTGGCGTCCGTTTCCATGAACATATAAGATTATTTATCAATAACCAAGCCAGGGAACTTTCTTGTTTATTATTTTTACTTTTATATTTGCCGCCACAATATATGTAGTAATGGACTTTATATAACATATATACTAGTTGTATCAAGCTGTGCTATTCGCTTTATCATCATTACATATATAACATAACATTACATGTATAAAATATAGTCGTTGCAGATGTCTGACCCTATATATGCTTAAATCTTTAAAATTACGCAACGGATTTTGAAGCGGCTTTTTTAATAGATACAGTGATTAAAGAGGAAGGTTTATAGCCGGGGCGTGTAACTAGTTACTGATAAAAACTTGTTTATAACTCTGATAGAAAATCGACATGAACTATCTGTGGAGCCAATTTCATTCAAATTCCTATTCATTTTTTAATATTTTTTTATTCTTCTATAAATTAACAATTGCAATAAAATAGCTAAAACTAGAAGTTTTCGGTTAAGTCATAAAAAAAGTCAGGTCTTCTAGAAACTATTTTTTATTTCTTTATTTTTTTCTTTTTGACGAAAATGCATTTGCATAGGCTGACTACTATATTCTCCCTAATTTAATTTAAAAATTAATCTGTATTTTTGTAAGCATCTATAGGCTCATTTAAAAAGAATACGAGCTGAGTTTCTGGTCAGTTCTCATCTCAAAATCATTACGAACTGATGGTAGATTTGACATATCATAAGAGCCTGTAATAGACCTACATGAATAAATATATTTTGATTCGATTTCTATATATATTCTATATATAAAGAGTTCTGCAAGCGAATAAGTAACCCTATCAATAATGGAGCCCCAATTTTTCAAATTATCGTCCGCTACGGCGTTTGGGGACGCACTTTTATTTTCGAATTTACGACCTTCCTCGCTCGAAGTGAGCCAATCAGAGATCGATAGAAAACTGAAATGTCTTACATTGCACTAACATTCCAGTTTGTTGTTATCAAGAAAATGATGTTTGTCATTATATTTTTATGTCGTAGTTGCTAACGATTTGTACATGATATAACTATACATGATATACAATTATCCAAAGACACGAAGACGACTGCGTGGTTAAAAAGTGCTCAAGATACCAAACTAGATCAGAAGTAGGGGCAGGTCATACGCCACTTATCCCGCGACTCCGGCTATAAGCGCTTCGTCGGGATACCTTGGAGGTTTTAGCGAGTAGGAGTCTCACAGTATCCACTTGCCTCCCCCGGGGCGGGCGGGTCTCCATGAGCGATTTTCTCCAAGTAAAAAAAAAGGTCATACGCCACTTGGTGGCACAATATTAAGAAGCAGATAGACTACGACAACATTCCATGCTATACTTTAGAGTAAATCTTGGCAGGTAGTTTATTTTACAACCTGAGTATGCGCTGGAGGAAACACCTCTAAACTCCTGACATCTGCTCATAATGCTTGAAGCATTAATCCAATTTTTTACCTTGATTTATAAATTTAGTCATTATAATTTAGCTCGTAGGACAGATGGCCGTTGGGGCAGTAAAGTCCTCGAGTGGCGACCACGGACCGGAAGACGCAGCGTGGGAAGGCCTCCAGCAAGGTGGACCGACGATCTGGTCAAGATCGCGGGAAGGCATTGGATGCGAGCAGCGCAGGACCTATCGTCGTGGAGATCTTTGGGGGAGACCTATGTCCAGCAGTGGACGTCTTCCGGGCTGTGATGATGATGATGATGATGAGTCATTATAATTATTTGAGAAAATATTACAAAAAGTTAATATACCTAAAGTCTTTATATTATATGTATTAAGCAATTTAAAAAGAGCAGAAGCCAGTGTATCTAATACTTCTTTCAATAGGAACACTTCTTCAGCAAACAACATTTATTTATTCCCATTGAAAAACAAACTTCATTCGGAACCTATTAAAGTTCTTTTTAAATTCATTCGCGCCTTGCTCCACAGAGACTCGAGTATTCAGTTGTATTAACTTTCGTATTATTTGAACGACTTTGGATTTCAGTTCACAATAAGTACCATCGACTTTTTATTTAGCTCCGATGAAATTATTTGCAAACATATAGATGTTTGCACAATTTTAATGAGCAAATGTTGTAAATATTTATATGAGCTGAATTGCGGCTTTTTTATCTTCGTTCAGGATTTATATTGTGTACTACTTCTGTGGAGGATTCCAAATTATTTCTATAAATCTCAAATATTAATTCTCACGTAAAAAATATCTTGGAGCTAGCAATTTCAACTATGCATCGATTATCGCACACGAGTCAAACGATTTAGGGAAGTCTGTGTTTTAGGGGTCACTAAGCTATAGTCTAAATTCATTTAGATCTCCATTGACTTAAAAAACAGACAAATTAAAGTCGTATATCAAGGCTAAAGGACTGAATCAATAGTCACCGAATTTACTTTTGCCTCTCACGCTATTAGTTATATTAAGAGAGATGACTATGTTTTCATTAAGGATTATGCGATTAAATTTTGTAAAGTGGAATTTTAAACCTCCTTGGAGCGGATTTGGGTTCCGTTTACATACCCTAATATGTAACCAATCAGCCAATTATGAAAAGAGTTCAAACTCTACAGCGCAATATTTATTACGAAACTTTTTTAGACATTCAGATTTTGGACTCTCGGGGAGAACTTTTCTATGACCACAGGTTTTGTATTCTCGGGGAGATCTCTTGGGGAGACCTACAAGATTTTTTCTTGAAATCTGATGAATGCGTCATTATAAACTAATTGATTGTGTTCAGCTTTATCCTTTACAGGTGACCTATCAATATTATCATTTAATATTGTTGCCCAAATCACCATGTCGTCAAAAATGTCGTTTAAAGCCGTATAAATCATGAATTACCATCTGCATATACAAGAAATCGTCTCTTTAAATGAAAAGTTCGAATATAAAACGTTAATTCTCTTTTATTCTAGTGTCACCTCCCACCTTTTGTTTTTTTCTCCTCTACCCAAAGGTTGCCTGGAAGAGATTGCATAAGCGATAAGGCCGCCTTTTGTACCCTTTTATTTTAATTACTCTATTAATGTAATTTTCCTGGTGCAATAAAAAGTATATAAATAAATAAATAATCAATCAAGCTTGATGAAACTCAACGATCATCGAAGCAGAGTAGATGTGGGGTCAGTTAAAACAAAGCTGCAAGTTGCACTCAGTGCTATTACGGCTGGCCCGGCTCCACTAATTGTGAAATCCGATTGCTGACGGATCGCAATCAACCTAGTTGATATTCAGAAGGAGATGTTAATGGGTGCGACGTCCAATCAATTGCCAATTGGTTTTAATGGCAGCGATCAGTGATTTACCTTCTTTTCTGTTCATCATTCTGAACTGACGGTAGATTTGACATATCATATGAATCTGTAATAGACATATATGAATAGAGGTATTTTGAATTTGAATTTGATTCTTTTTCTCTGTAAGCCGACCTCGGTGGTCTAGCGGTTTACTTGCTATAGTCGCGGGTTCGATTCCTCGCACAGTGCAAACATTTGTGTTCCTGTAATATTTGTTTCTGAGTGTTTTCTATGTAGATATAACAAGTAAATAAGCTAAACATTTGTATCACTTGTAACATCAAGCACTTATAACATCAGCTCTGCTTAGCTTGGGACTAGATGGCGCTGTGTGAATTGTCCACGAATCTATATTCACAAAAGTGTGTATTAAATTTCTATTCTTATACTTCTGAACTAAGTATAAAAAACATCTATTCAAAAGAGCAACACACAAGTTTCTTGCTCATTCTTCTTGTGATGAGTCTGCGTTCCGAATGAGTGGTAGAATAAAAAATATGACTATTCAAAAGTGCTTGTACTGAGTTTATTTGAATAAAGATTATTTCTATTTCTATTTGTAGAAGTTACTGGATGAATATGGAGCTACTCTCCATTAATGATAATACGAATTAATCAAAAAGTGTGTATGTAAATTAATCAAAATTTCGATAGATAATAATTGCAAGCATTCAACTGAAATCTGCGCAGGCATATCTTCCACCTGGGTTGGCAGCTCCGGGTATTGATTGCAACAGAACGTCACTGACACCATAGGGCTGACAATTGGCAATAACATAGAATTATTGCCAGTTTATTGGACTGTATGTAGTCCAGACGAATATAGTCACAATGTAATATATATACAATGATTATAATATTTTAATAAACATACATTCGCACCCAACATCCTTCCACACACACACGTCTTTTACAGTAGAAACAAATTCTTAATATAATAATAAATAACCCTAGAAGAGCGTGATCTTCTATCACAAGTATTTAATTATGCTTACAAGGAGATCCCAGCCCCGGCTTAAGGATATATATAAATAAGAATATGTGATTGTTGATATGTAAAAAAAAATTTGTAAAACATCTATGTTAATGAAATAAATTTATTATTATTATTATTATTGATCAAGCAGACAAGATTTAGATTTATACTATTCTATATACTGAGAGCTTAGTTGCTTATTATATCAGCTTTATTATAATTTCCACAGGAATATGATCCGTTCTTATTAATTTGTTTTATTTATTTCATCTTATTTTATACCATCATAACCGTTTACAATTCGCGTTATTAATCTATGATTACTTCAATTTTAAATTTTAAATTAATAAGAACCTAACTCTTCTAGATTCTAGTTTTAGGGTTTAAGTAGTTTTTTTAATACCTTATTACTATTTACACAGCGCCGTCTAGTCCCAAGCTGAACATAGTTTGTATTATTTGTACTAGACTGATATAAGTACATAGATATTTTTTGTAAACATACATATTATACGTTGAAAACACCAAGATGCAAGCAATCATACTCAAGAATACAATTTGTACCGTGCGAGGAATCGAACCCGCGACTATTGGAACTAAAGCGAGATGTTAACTTGTTTTCTCAGTGAATGATGATATAAATATGTAGTTTATTAAAAAACTGATGAGAAAATATATAATAATAATAATAATAATCTCAGGACAATTCACACAGCGCCATCTAGGCCCAAATGAAGCTAGCTAAAGCTTGTGTTATGGGTACTAGATAACTATATACATTTAAATGTAGCAGAATTAATAAAATAACTGTTATAGACAACCCTACACGAGATCATGTGCACATCTCTACACATACATATACGCAATCAAAACAACAGATTTTCGGAACGTGAATTCTGATTGTCGAATTATCTGTATCTCAACTAAGATTTATACTGTCAAAGACTGGTGCTTTTATATCAAAGATAAGAAAATTAACTGAGTATTTGCCGATTTATTTGCATTTCATAATGGCACAATAAGGGTTGGCACAATCTGTACTAATATTACAAAATTGTTTGTTTGGATGCGCTAATCTCAGAAACTACTTTTCGGTTCGAATTGAAAAAATCTTTTTGTGTTGGATAGTCCCTTTGTCGAGAACTCTAGAATATACTTTATTTGCAACATACAGTAAAGAAGAACCACAAACAATATAACAAAGGACACATGTATCGTTACAATAAGGCGGGCTTATTACTGAAAGCAATCTATTCAAGGCAACCTTAGAGAAACGTATTGAAATATCGGACAGATAGGTAAAATGACATAAACAGGAGAAAACTAAAAATAACAGATATATAATTAAGCTATACAGTATCCGTTACTCTATGGTATCTACAGATTTTGTAGTATCGATCCCCCGTCCAATTCAAACCGCGATCGAAATTGGCCTGACTACGACTTGAGCCGAGGTTCGAATCCCTAGCGCTGCCCTCAGACTAAAGTCGTATCGGTCAGGCGCGAGTTGGCCTTCAGTCGTTTCACAAGTCCTTCCGTAGGTTTGGAGTTCTCTGCACTCGCCCCCTACGTCCCGTGAATATAACATTACGCTACGACCAATAGAAGCGAGGCTTCAGTGAATAATGTTGCAAAAACGTGAATATTGTTCGTATTTGAGGGCTTCCGTTGCGTAAACGGTTCAAGTAACCCAAAAAATATGTATGAAAGAATTAGTTTTTACCACGCGAAAGAAGTCGCGAGTAAGGCTAGTATTATTATAAGAGCATTAGGGATCAATATATATGGATACAAATAACAATAAATTACTAAAAGATGTATTGGTATTACATTTAAAATAACTTTAATCTGTCAAATCATATCTATTGAACAAAGCTTATTACCAGGATGTTATGGATATGAAATTTCGGATACGGATAGGTTTCGGATATAGGAAAGATTATTATACCGGATACGGATACGGATATGAAATTATTTCGGATTATCCGTTAGTTTCGGATAACTTCGGTTACGGATATTAATGTTTTAAGGAATTTCAAAAGTAAAATATAAATAGCTAATAAAATGGTTACATAACGTGTCTCAATTAGGCTCCACCGCTATCCGATATTGTCCGAAACTTTTATTTCGGTTACGGTTACGGATATTTTTTTTATATCGGATATCCGATAGTTTCGGTTACGGTTACGTTGCTCCTAACATCCCTACTTATTACAAAACGATTATTTAAATGACAAATGTGCATGACTAGAATTGCTTTTACACGGCATTTTCAATCTATCTATCAAATTCAATAATCATTTATTCATGTAGGACATTTTAGGCGAAGCCAACAAATTTATTACATTTTTTTTTGTTACTCTAATGCTATTGGTTGCAGCTGGCCTTTGCAGCTTCATCGGACGATTGGGGGCGAGATGGCACTCCAAACCGCGGAAGGACTTGTGGAGCGGCTGAAGGCCAACTCCCGCCTGACGGATACGACTTTAGTCTGATGGCACCGCTAGGGTTTCAAACCTCGGCTCAGGTCCTCGTAATATCGATCCCCGTTTGAATTGGACGGGGGATCGATGCCCCAGGCGCGTGCAGGCACCCGGTTGATTGCGCGATATGATGTGTTAGGGGTCGTCGTCTTCGCCGGCGAGGACGGTGTCGTGTGTGTGTGTAAAAGTGTGGTCGAGGCTGTTTACATTAGGTATACATTTTCCCTACAGTCCAGTTCAGATCTAACATTGTATTTCATGCAGGCAGAGTATACTCACGTTCAGTATCGCTGGTATCAGACAGCGGCGGTTCGTTTGCTATGTACTGTCTACCACTGAGCAGGTTGCTTTCGACCACTGGCCGTTTGTCTTCTAACTGACGTCTGAATGCTCGATGGTCATCCTGAAAACATAAAGGCACTATTAGCGTATTTTCTGAAGAGATGGTGAAAATGTAAACGTAATAATAATGCTAGTAATATATTGGGACAAGTCACACAGCGCCATCTAGTCTCACGGTAAGCAGAGCTTGTATTATAGGTACTAGATAACAGGTACAAATTTAGGGTCATATGTATTTTTTAAAGCTACATTCAAAAAATTAAAAATGTTTGTTTTGGACAACCCTTACCACTTATCACTCAGTGGTATGAAAATAGATAATATTAATTCTCAGACCCACTAGAAAATATCCAACTTAAAATTCATAGCGTTGACAATGATATCTGATTGAACAGAGATTAAGCGCGTAGCGATTTCTATGTTGATTGTCGCATGCCTAATCCTTGTTGTTAATTAAATATAAGTAAATGAATATTTATTTAAAAGAGCAACACACAAGTTTCTTGCTCATTCTTCTTGTGATGAATCTGCATTCCGAATAAGCGGTAGAATACAAAAACTTGACTATTCAAAAGTGTTTATATTAAGTTTATTTGAATAAAGATTATTTCTATTTCTATTTCTACTGAATATCATATAAAATTTCATAAAGATCAGCCAAACTGTTTCGGAGAAGAATAGTAACTAACATTTGACACGAGAATTTTATATATCGTCAGTTAAATAGAAAAATGACAGTATTCAAAATGTATATTTTTGTCTTGTCTTGTAGACAAGCTTTTAAAATATTTAAATTATGATTGATGAATGATTGAAATGATGATTCAAATTATTTTTCCCTTTAAAGTTTTAAATTTACACAGAAGTGTTATATATCATTTTAAAAGTATTTAGATAATGATTAAGACGGCGTGGTTAATTTAATTGACGACCTCGGTGGTCTAGCGGTCTAGCACACCGCTTTACGTCCGATGGTTGTGGGTTCGATTCCTCGCACGGCACAAACATTTGTATTCATGAGTATGATTGTTTGTATCTGCCTGGGTATTTTCTATGTATAATATGTATGAATTTAGGAAAAAAAATTATCTATGTATTTGTATCAGTTGTCTAGTACCCATAACACAAGCTTTAGCTAGCTTAACTTGGGTCTAGATGGCGCTGTGTGAATTGTCCTGAGATTATTATATTATTATTCACCGATATAAAAGGAGGCAGTTCTAGCTTCTAATTTTGAAAAATGTCATTGTTCTATTTAATCAACGATATATAAAATTCTATTCATCTTAGGTTATCCTCGATATTTGTTTAAAAATTAAGCCTAAAACCGAAATACAAAAGAAACAATATGATTGAAAATATATTCAAAACAATGTCACTTTGATCGCGAAAGTATGCTACGAGCTCATTATAATAATTCGAATTCGCTCGTTTCCAGATTAGAATTTGTCAGTACAAAAGAACAGCCGACTCGAGATTCGATATAAATGCAAAGTACCTTCAAAGGGATGATCTTTCAGTGTATTAAGTATTCCATATAAATTATAAGTCGAGATCATAAAATATTACGGCCTATCGGCTCGCCTGTTGCTGAAAGCATCAGAGCACCGTTATTTTTGATTTTCCACTCTCTCCTGTTGAAATTTATCGTGACCAACGAGGCAAGAAGTAAAATATTGTATGCGATTACCCCGTGCCCTTGTAATAAAAAGGTTCCTAGTATATTCTTTGCTTTCGTTTATTGAATTTGTGGATTCAGAGTAGTTTTTGTTAGAGGCAATTGTTTTGATGTTGTTACTAAATATTTGACGAGTATTGACGTATCTTGAGAGACGATCGCAGCGCCGGTTACTCCAAATTTTAGTTTGTGCCATGAAGAGAAGTAACATAAAATATATAAAATCCAATCCAAATAGTACTCTACAATGTTCAAGTATTATAAAATGAAATAATAATGTGATAATGATAACCAAACACACGTAATAACGTAATCTTCTATCAACACATACAGAATAAATGACTAAGTATACTGATCTAGCAATAGAACTAAAAATGCAATGGCAGGTAGAAACAGTAAAAACTCTCCCAATTATTATTTCGACCACAGGTGTCATTCCAACATCCCTACACACTAGCCTCAAAATATTACAGCTGGTGAAGCTGTACTTACTTTCATACTTCTCCAAAAAGCTGTAATACTAAACACATGTAGAATAGTACGCAAATTTTTGTCATCATCATAATCATTTCTTTTATAATTGTCATTGTTTGGTGATATTCACCCCCAATGACAAGTTTAACACCCCCATCAGAGGGAGATATATAATATACATATATAAATAATAATAATTGTTATTATACGTGTTAATTAAATATAAGTAAATCAATATTTATTTAAAAGAGCAACACACAAATTTCTTGCTTATTCTTCTTGTGATGAATCTGCATTCCGAATAAGCGGTAGAATAAAAAAACTTGACTTTTCAAAAGTGTTTATATTAAGTTTATTTGAATAAAGATTATTTCTATTCTATTTCTATTTCTACTGTTATGATCGACGACCTGCCATTGGTTCGCCTACCCTGAACCTAGACTACCTATCGCTAGACTATCGTTGAAGAAACGGACTAATTGACCAGACTTCATCCACATCCTATCATCCTCAACGGTGTAGTTAGGCAATGGCATTTATCTGTACCAGGGAGGGTAGGGTCATAGTGGCGTATTCATGATTAATTAACATCAATCTAAAGGACATGCAAAGAGGTTGACATGCGCTAATGATAGCGCAGGCAAGTTATTACTATTACATATTGATGAAAAAAAAACCGTCATCCCACGATATCTATACATATAAATAAAATTGGAGTGTCTGTTTGTAATATTGAAATTACCATTTTTTACTACATGCATATGAATGTAAATACGGTATATACATGAAATAACATTTTTTACAATTTTTGTCTGTCAGTCTGTCTGTTTGTTCCGGCTAATCTCTGAAATGGCTGGACCGATTTTGACGGGACTTATATTAGCAGGTAGCTGATGTAATAAGGAGTAACTTAGCTAGCTTTATTTTAGAAAAATAAAGTTAAATTCCACGCGGACGAAGTCGCGTGTACAGCTAAATAAATTAACAAATATAAAATTATCTAACATGACACAGACAACACAACTTACGCGTCTGCAATTAATAATTTGACCGCGACGTTAACACTGTGTACGCATGTCAACTCAGCAAATGGCCGACCGCGCCATTTTGGGCCCGCCATTTTAGTTAACTCACCGCAAATTCGGGTGTGAATCCAGTTGGCAAATAAGGCTATTAGGAATATAACGCATTGCCATTAGCAATTTCGTGTGGCCTGATAACATTAGGCGTAGTGTAGAACAGTAATGTATATTATTAGAGATTTTAGGCCCGGCATTTTAGGTATCTATTGATGGTTTTTGTTTCGGACTACTCTAATGCTGCCGTAGATGGCCTTTACAGCTTCACCGGACGGTAGTGCAGATGGCACTCCAAACCAGCGGAAGGACTTACGGAGCGGACGAAGGAAATCTCACGCCTGACGGATACGACTTTAGTCTGAGGGCACCGCTGGGAGTTTGAACCTCGGCACAGGCCGTCGTTATATCGATCTCCGTTTGAATTGGACGGGGAATCGATCGAAGGAGACAGATCAAACGATATTATGAAACAAAACGTCATTATTTTTTTTATTAATGAATTAAATATAATAGTATGTGTATCAAATTTATCACAGAATTGAATACTGTTTATATATGTCTATTAAATATCATTTCATTTGTATTTCTCAAGTTCTTTAGCATACATTGTTGATCCGTATTTAATAACATGTTCCCTGAAATTTTCTCCAGCTATTTTTACTTCACACAAATTTACACGCAAACAGATAGATTCCACGATATCATGTTTCAAAGTCTTTTGGCTTCAAATAAATGAAAGTACAATAATTCAGCAGAATGTTTCTTTTGTTTATGATTAAATGTCATAAAGATCTCTGGACGGATCGCTGGACCTTGTTAGTCCAGCGGTCTAGCACATCGCTTTACGACCGATGGTCGCGGGTTCGATTCCTCGCACGGCACAAACATTTTGTATTCATGAGTATGATTGTTTGTATCGGTCTGGGTGTTTTCTATGCATAATATGTTTACAAAAAAAAATCTATGTATATGTATCAGTTATCTAGTACCCATAACACAAGCTTCAGCTAGCTTAACTGGCGCTGTGTCAATTGTCCTGAAATTATTATTATTATCTCAAAAGCCGTGTTTTAGAATCTGACATTAAAAACTTTTGTATGTAAATTTTTATATCTGATTACTTCACTGATGACTGCGATTTGTTCACAACAACAAAACGAGCAGTGTCTGATGATGTGATGTCCGTAGTGCTATTAATATATATACATAGGCGATGGTTACTTACTATCAAGTTGGCCATCAACCATTCCAATTAAAAAAAAATCACCTGTTGTTTGAGTAGAGCTTGTAAGTCGCCGCGAGGTGGCGCTAGTGCGTTTAGCTCCGTTTCCTTTCTGATCACCCACTCTGTGAGCTCGCGCAATGATAATAGTAGCGCCGACCAGTGCTCAGCGTTGCTCTCCAAACGATTTCTGAAATAGAAAAGAATATACATATATAAGAATAGAAGTTATAATACAAAGATCATTTATCTTATCAGGACTTTTAAGAATTCACTTATAAAATTATAAAAAAGTCAGTCTTAAAATTGAAACAGAAAAATAAATTGTATACAGATACACTCAAGGAATTCTTAAACTTTCTTTTCATATGTATTTATAATATAAAAATGTACTTTCTTCGCGTTACGAATTTGTTTTCAGAATTTACATGAAAGCACTAATATTCATCAAGAAATAGCCGTTGTTCCTCGTTGTAGCGGTCAACTCACTCGTTCATTCGTATCCCATCACTTATATCTTCCATTCTTTCGTCATTCACGTTTCAATTCATGCATACATCATTCAGTTAACACAGTCGTTCCGTTACATACCAATCCCACATATACTGTATAATAATAATAATCTCAGGACAATTCACACAGCGCCATCTAGACCCAAGTTAAGCTAGCTGAAGCTTGTGTTATGGGTACTAGATCACTGTTACAAATACATCGATTTTTTTTCGTAATTACACATAGAAAACACCCAGACCGATACAAACAATCATACTCATGAATACAAATGTTTGTGCTGTGCGAGGAATCGAACCCGCGACCATTAGATAAAAGGGTGTTCTAGACCGCTATACCACCGAGGTCGTCAAATTATATATGAATCTATTGTTATTAGTAAGAGCTATATGTAACTATTGTGTGTAAAAGAAGGATTATTTTTGTTACCACTAATTATTAGGTCATTCAGTGTCGAACACTCAATATATTCTCACTATCACTCAATTATTGACTGTATCAGAATAAAGAAAATGGCCAGAAAAGGAAGTGCGAAAAGAGATAAATTGAAAAGAAAAACATATACTGGCGACCCCAAATGATTTCATTGATAACTAGCAATATATCGGTGAAAAATATATTAAATTCCATGCCGAGATCCAATTTAGAAATTTCTATTAGTGTAGAATTTTCCATTTATAAAAAAAGGCTAGAGGCTATGTAACATCCCGCAACGATTAATAGAAATTGAGCTTCAATGAAAATTGTTGCAAAAACGGAGAAAGTCCAATGCTGATGAAGTTACGCAGGTCAAATAGTATTTTATTTTAGTTCCCTATAATTCATAAAAAGGGAAACATTTTATTGGGTCCATTAAATTATAACAAAAATAATTGTAGCGCCTGCCTTCATAAAAACAACTTTAAAACTCCCACGAGTGAGAATGTTCGTCAGAATGACGACTCTACAGCAGTCGTTTAATAGACTACAGAATGAGTCACAGTACTAAGATTATCTCCATTAAATCAGGGAACATAAAAGGCTTCCTTGCAGACGATAATTCAAAAACTTGGCTCGTGTGTAAGCGAAATAAGCGCGATTGTTGAATTTTGGCCAAGGCGCAGATCTTTAATATGTTTAAGCCTTGGATAAGACTAGTGTTGGGCTGGGCAGGCAATATATTAAAGAATCATGAGCAAGATTTTGTCTCTTCTTATATATCGAGACTAGAGAGACAAGAAAACACTTCCTTGAACTAAATCTGCGCTAAATCTTGGTAACACCTTCAATTTTTTATTTATCATCATCATTAGCAGCTTACTGCAGTCCACTGCTGAATATAGGCCTCTCTCAAAGCATGCCACTGGGTACGATTTCCAGCCCTTCTCGTTCAGTTATTACCCTCAACCTTACGTATGACGTAGCTCCATTGTTGTGATAGGACTCTTCAATCTGTTTCCCAATTTTTATGTGTATGAAATGGCAAGGCTATTACTGAAGGCCTATGAAAGATGAAAGCCTATTACTCACTAAACGATTACTTGAATGACGAGCGTGCATGGCAATAGTTTTCATGTTCGGGATTTTCATTTAATGTTGGACATAGACACCTATGTAAATACCTACGCAATATAAATAAACTGGCTTTTAAAAAAAGTAATTCAATTGAGTTTCTTGCTAGTTCTTCTCAATTGGATCTATATACCGAACTTGACGGTAGGGAAAAATATTATAATGTAAAAACTTGACGTTCATAAGCGGCTAAAATGTCCTACATGAATAAATGATTTTTGAATTTGAATTTAAGCAAATACATATATGAAAAGAACTTTGGACACCACGTTAACATCTGATGCCTGTGATACTCGTGCGTTGTCATTCTGGAGGACTAAGATGGGATCCCTCTTATTTTGTCATACCACTACCAAATCTGACCCTACAACCGAAACCAGCTTACACTGTACTTGCAGGCTTAAATAGCTAGGCAGAAGATATGAAGATGACTCTTAGAGTCTACCTCTGGTAGCTTCTGAGACGAACTTCTGAGTCCATAGATTCACCGTACGAGAGCCGGCACTATCGTGCGGTAGAGAGAATCTCCGAGGAGCTCCTGGACTTGAGACCTAGGTATAAGTGTCAATGTGAAGTACATTGACACTTATACCTAGGTCTCAAGTTCCGCTCATTTTCTCAAATCTTGTTTCTCTCCCTGCTCAGCCAATTGGCATAGCCAGCCAGTGCAATTTTATATACATGTTTTAGTACAGAAGTTACTACAGATCTAGTCAGGCCAAGATCTTTTAGTTGAATAGACTGATTTCGCTGATATTCCTCTCGCTCCTATTCTGACTGATTCATATAAATTAACCACATATTTTCATAGTAATTCCCTCCACAATATTTGAATCTATATTAATGTACATGTACAACATTTATTTAAAAAGAATACGAGCTGAGTTTCTTGTCAGTTCTTCTTATCTCAAAATCATTCCGAACTGACGGTAGATTTGATATATTATAAGAGTCTGTAATAGATGTACATGAATAAAGATATTTTGAATTTGAATAAAGCATTATCGATATCAGTAATGTAACGTCACTAGACTCGTTTTTCATAAATCTCCAGTTCTACGGAGGCAATTGCAGCGAGTTTTATACCGTTTCACTTAATGTTATTTAAATTAATACAAATTTCGCCGACAGACCACAACCACCCTTACCTTCTTGGTATACGGGTGGGTTTACTTTGACAAGAAAAAAATGTATTCCTAATTAAAATTAAAAAGGATAAAACTAAAGGTAACGCAGTAGTTTTCTTTTATATGTTAAAATATTTACATTTTCTCTATACAGAATAAATTCACAACGGTGCGCGTTTGCGGAAAAAAGTTTATGTAATCTTTATTTTTTTTGTGTGATAGAAGGGGTACTAAGGTGTTATTTTTAATATGGATGATAATGGAATGGTGGTGCACCCGCCTGCGCTAACGGTTTACGCTGGCGGGGCACCAGTGGAGGATGATAAGATGAGCATGAAGTCAGGTCAGTTAGCCCATCGTGACAAATTCACCAAGAATTTATCACGATGTTTTCCAGGGGGAACCGCGTGGAAGTAATCCTGACATGGTACTTAGTGCATCAGTCCACATTACTAACAATCCCCTTTCCCTCCAAGATACTAAGGTATTATGCACTGTATCCTGTAATTTCTCTGCCTTATCTCAGACGTTATCTGAAAGTCTGCTTACAAAGCAAGATCCTTGGACTTGCTCATGCTTAAGTAAGTAACAGGTAAGACGGAGGATAAATTCGTCTACTTGGTTAGACGACTTTCTACAAAGTCTAAAATATGTACATACCAAAAAATATTTAAAGTAAAAGTCGAACAATCTTTATTCTAGATTTTTAGACAAAAGTGGCTAAAGAGCCAAGTTAAAAGATTCATAGCTCATTTATGAAGATCTCTTCTTTCGTATGTACTTTCAACACATTCTTTTAGTTAACCGAAGTGATTTCACCAATATTCTAAGTTTTTTTTTTAAATTTTTAAATGGGTTAATATAAATTGTAATTTAATTTGTTTATATTATTGTATACCTTATTTTCATTTGTTCAGAAACTCAGCTGTTGCTCTTTTTATAGTCAATTCGTTAACATTATTCACTTATTATATTAATAATGAGTTTACAATATTTGTTCAGAACCCTCTGTGTAAATTCGATTCGTACTTTGCTCATTTTTTATTTCAATATAGCAAAGGGTGGACCAACCCTTTGCTATATTTATTTATTTGTGTTGAGATCAGGTGCGCCGCGGTCCGGCCTTTGTCGGACCTTATGTTTTGTGTTGAATATTTGTATGTCTGCAACGTACTAAGTAAGCAAGCGATGGTTTTTTATTAACATTGGTTTGTATATCGTTTGATACTTTGAATATTCTATTATAGAATTTGACTGTAATAAGGAAATAAATAGGTATATTTGCTTGCAGTAGTTACGGTATTACACCATTAGGGCATACTAATCAGATTGTATCTTAAACTATCTGTTCCCGCGACTTGGACCGCGTGGTTTTATCTTTATTTTTCTGAAATAAAAATATCCTAATTACTCCTCATTACATCAGCTACCTTACAAAAAAGGTCCCGTCAAAATCGGGCAAGCCGTTTCAGAGATTAGCCGGAACAAACAGACCGATAGATAGACAGACAAAAATTATAAAATATGTTATTTTGGTGTATGTACCGTACCATATTAATAATTTTCTCATACACTCAACAGATAGTTATAAATATAACAATAATATTTCGAAGCATTTTTTTTCCACACAGTGTCATCTAATCTCAAGCTAAGCAGAGCTTGTTTTATTCATACTAGATAAGTGATATAAATACATAGATAAAAAGTGAAAACTTCTATTAAAAGCTTCCCCTGTATCAAATTGCAGCGGGAGCTTAATAATTTATAAATCCAAACATTTAAACATACATATAAAAAAAAACTGAAAGAAATAAATGGAAAAAATACATACATGTCATGTTGTATATATGTATATTATAGAAGAAATATACGAAGAAACATACAGACGAAAACGGCAGCTGTTTCTCTATAATTATAGATAGATATATATAGATAAAACAGATGGTGCTTCAGCTAAAAGTTTTGCCGCTAACAATAGTAAAATCAAGTGATAGTAGAGACA